TATATAGTAAAACATAGTAAGGGGCATATCATAACTGTATAGCACAACGATAATAATTCATATGCACACAGATACAGCATGATATGGAAAAAATATGTTTATTATAAAGGCCACCAGCATTGTTAATTTGAACAAGTGGGACAAGGGGAAAGAGATGTATTGAAGACAGAAGGAGAAATTGTATCTGATTTCCCCCCGTCATCGGTGCTCAGTCCAAGGTCCTCAGCTGTTGCAAAGTGTCAGCTTGACATAGGACCGCTAAGCCTGGCATGCACACAAGCACACACCCAAAATCATAGATACACATCTCCAGATATACACTCAAACTACAACCTAAAGTCACTTTGGAAAATATCTAAAAAACACTGAGGGACCAGACTTTTTGACAGCCCAGCATCTCGAGGGCCTGAAGTGAAGCTGCTTTGTAACATACTGACCATACAGGGCTCTGGTCATTGCCAGCAGGTGAAAACCCATTCACTGAGATTTTGCCAGCACAACGGATTTATGATTTCTTCAGTGCGATCTGTACAAATTTAGACAAAAGGTAGGCCAATACTGTAGTTTAAAGAATGTTTTTAATGAAAAAATGTTTGTGCATGACCTGTGTTATAATCACTCAGTTTATTTGAATTAATTTGAGTGAAGTTCCATTAGTTTTAAAACACGAGCTAAACAACCCCAACTCTGAGATTATCTCTGTCACTTTACAAACTCAGATTTTTTTTATTTCCATAACATTTTTTTTATTTTTTGTTGCTTTTTTCCAGGCTGACAGAGGCAGCCAAATTTAGCTGTGATGAGATTAAATTTCACAACCCTAGAATAGTATAGAAGACGAGCACATTCTAACACTGCGTGGATATGCAAGTGCATGTAGCGTTCACACAGACACAGAAATATATTTTCTATTGTATTACCACATTTGATACTTCTTAAATACATTTTTAATCAAAACCAAATGCAGGCTTATTTTCTGATATTTCTTTCAACTTCCCTCTAAGAAGTTCAGAAATGTGTATTTAACTTTTCAGTAGCACCTACTTTGAAAACAATTTGACATAATAGTGGATATGGGCTAAGTATTTCAAAGTTTTGAGTAAACAAATAATTAGTAATACATTCTCTCATGATATAACTTTTATTAAATTGTCTCATAATCTTTTGGGGGGAAAAAACAACACCTAACTCTTTACTTTCTAGGTGGAGGTGAACTAACGCTGTCTACATCAAACCATGGAGCCGTAAGTATAATTCTTAAAATCAATATACTCGCCTCTTGATACTCATTTTATTGGCTTAGTTGTAGCACTTGTTTACCATTTAAGTCTTAATTCCATTTCCTGTTTACTAAATACTGCACTAGCCCATGCCATAAAAATATTCTAGAGCATCATGTCTAAAGCAGCTCTATGTCCACTTGAAAGAATGTGCGGCAAGGATATCCTTAAACAAATTGAGTCTTATATTAAATTGCCATGATTCTACTATTTTAAGGTGGAATGGCAGTTTCACTTTTACTTGTGTTTGGTTTTTTTAAAGATTGTTTATATGCAAAACCTTGTTCCTCACTTTATATGCTTACATGTTCCTTTAGAATTAAAAGTGATCATAATGTTGAGAATAAACAAAATAACTATCTATAGCCGCACCAGTTAACCTCACTCATGGCTGAGTGTGTTTTTTCTTTGTGTGTGTGTGTGTGTTAGGGACGATGACAAAAACTCTGTGGATATCCATGACAACCCCCCAGCTCCTGACAATGTAGTGAGGGAGGACGGAGACACTGTGAGTGACAGCACCATGTCAACCCCCCGCCATTAGCAGTGCAATTCTTGGGCTGTTTAAAATAGCCACCAACTGGGACATGGTTGCAGTGCAGCATCAGCTGGAAACAATATGAGCTTAAGTGTCCCTATCTTATACAACCTTATGGAAAAAAACTGAGCACTGCTGGCTGATCTGGATTAGTCATCGAAATGTTATTCACTAGGTCCTGAAAAGCTAAATGTAAGACAGAGATCAGGTACCAGCTGATAAACAAACAAGGCAAGACACTAATGTAATACTTTACAACACTGTGTGACATTGACACTGGCAGCTCAGTATGTTTAACATTTAAAAACTTTAATAACAACTTATATAACAACTCTATCACATCTTTGTTGTTGGGTTTTTTTGTCTGACATATGTCCCTTGGGTCTGCAGGTCTATTTCATATATGAGGAGGAAGTGGAGGTGGAGGAGAAGGAACCAGAACCTCCTTCAGAGCTTGTCATCCGGGTCAATGACAAACCCCACAAATTCAAGGACCACTACTGCAAGAAGCCCAAGTTTTGTGACGTCTGCGCTCGCATGATAGTCTGTAAGTGCTGTTTTTTTTATATTAATGATATAAATAATCAATCATCATATAATCCCATAGGTATTTGTTCTAAAGATTGAGACTGTTAATTTTGGTTCCTCATCTTTCAGTGAACAACAAATTTTGCCTGAGATGCAAAAACTGTAAGACCAACATCCACCACTCATGTCAGTCGTATGTTGAGTTTCAGAGGTGTTTTGGCAAAATTGTGAGTTTGCTGATGTGCACTGAATATGAAACTATATTTGTAACATCTGCAGTTTCCTTTTACTGCCCTTGAGAGTGAGAGAGATATATTTTTTAAAACCTTTTTAAAAAACTTTTTTTCTTCTTTCCTGTAGCCGCCTGGATTCAGAAGGGCCTACAGCTCCCCTCTGTACAGCAGTGACCAACCAGACCCAAGTGAGTCCACTGAATCTGGAACGGCAATATATCTCTTGTGTATATAAATTTCTTAACCTTAAATTCAAGGCTGCTATTGCAAAGGAAACTAAGCACGGTGTCTGCATTTTCTCTTTAGCAACACTTGCAATCATTATACTGTATTTAACAAGCTGCATTTAAAGATTTTTAAACTTAAATATGCTTGAAATGATTAATTTAATGACAGCAAAATTTAAAAAGAAAAACATTTTTAAAGGACAGTGTAAAGCAGACATTCAAGCAACATTCTGACCTTTGTGTTGGGAAATAATATTTCTTAGAAAAACAGCAGAATGTGTTGTGTCACTATAATACTGATCCTTTTATCCCAGTGCGTCATACATTTAGTTAACACTAAAATAAAAAAACCAAGTAAAGTGAAACAGCAAACACTTGTTTGGTTATTTTCCCTCCATAATTCACATTCACTTACCTTCACTTTGTTATTTTCCCTGGTCCTCAGTGCAGCAACTGAAGTGGCTCCAACTGCTAAATATCAGTGATTTAATAAGAAGAAGAATTTATCACGAAGGTCACGGTAATTTTAGCATTTTAATTCTTTGATTTGTTCTTGTTCCAGGGGGAAATGATTGTAGAGTATACACCCTTAGTGACTTAAAAAAAAAACAATAATTGTGTACACAAGTTTATAATCTATAATCTATACAGGGGTCAAAAGTATACATGTGGTCTCAAATATATACATACAACCCCACTAAAAATTGGTTCAGTGTCTCTCAGCAAGGTATACCCCGACCAGAAAAAATGGTAGTCATCAACGAGCTTCTGACATAATGATACACTTGACCATTCATCTTGGCAGAATTAGTATAAATTTGTTGGCTTCCTGCTATCCAACCAGCATAGTCCACAATTTTTTAGGTTTGAAGTTAAAGACCATTGCAGAAACTCAATGTTAGCCAGCTTTATCCATTCCAAAACCAGCTTTGATGCATGTTTGGGATCATTGTTCTTTTGGAATACACAGCTGTGCCCATGTTTCAACCATCTAGCTGTTGATTTGAGGTGAATTTGAAGAATTTGTAGGTAGTCCTCCTTGTTCATTATTCCGTCCGCTTTGTACACTATAACAGTACCACTGGCAGCAAAACAGCCCCAAAGCATGATGCTACTACCACCATGCTTAACAGTTGGTACAGTGTCCTTAGGTCTGAAAGCTTCACCTTTACTCCTCCAAAAATACCACTTGTCATTGTGGCCAAATAGTTATATCTTTGTCTTGTCTGATCATAACATTTTTCTCCAGGAGGCATTTGACTTGTCCATGTGGGCTGCTGCAAATCTTGACCAAGCTTGAAAGTGGTGTTTTTGGAGCAGAGGTTTCTTTCTTGGTCAACACCCACTCCGTCCAGAGTGATGTAAAAGTTACTACACTGTGGACAGTGACACTGGTATTTGAACAGTTTCAAGTTCATGGCAGGCTTGAATCTTAGTGGTTCCTGGGTTCCTTCACTCTTCTGCAGGTGACATTCGAGTCTTCTTCCAGATCTCGGCAATCTGGTGACACATTTGAATAACTTATGTACAATTGTTTGAACTGATGATCTTGGAATCTGCAGATGTTTAGAAATATCTGAATGAGTAAATATAGTTTTCCTTTTTAGATTAACTCTTCGGGATCTTGAAAACATAGACTAGTCAATCTAGTGCAGTGTAGCAATTCTTATACTCCATGTTGATTTTGTGTTTATCCCTGTCCTTAACCAGACAACCCAAACCGGAACGACCCAGTTTTTGACACCCTGCGGGTTGGTGTCATCATGGCAAATAAGGAGCGTAAGAAGAATGAAAATGATAAGAAAAATGTAAGCATTTATAATAATCTTAATCAAAACATAAAATCTATGAATTTCAACAGTTTTCAGGGACTGACTCACTGCAAACAAAATAAATACAATTTATGTAATCAAGAAAATGCAGTGTTTGAAATAATTTTAAGAACAGATTTCATGTTTTATATATAAAATATGAGATCAGTGCTGTTTTTAAAAAAAAAACTTTTTATTTTGTACTATTTCCAATTTTATAGTACATGCAAACAAAAATATGAAAAAAGAACACAAAAGAAACAAACTAAAAGAAATAAAGGACACCTAATCTGTGGAAGAGGGGAATCAGTGATCAGTGCTGTTTTAACACTGCTGTGTCCTCTAGATGATGATGATGATGGAAGAGGAGGAAGAGGAGAACCAACAGCCCAAAGAGAATGAGGAGGGAGGAGAAGGTAGAGTTAGAGCAAGAGCTTATCTCTGTGGTGTAAAATATGCAAGTTAGTCATAAAAGATATGATTGTGTGATGTCTGATACTCAAACAGGGAAGCCTGATGATAAAAAAGAGAAAGGAGGAGACAAAGCAGATGACAAGGTAAGCAGTCGATTATTGCATACATGTAACGCTTTGTTGCTAAGTAGCACCATACGTGCATGTTTTGTTTTTAATTTAAACTTAATAACATTTGCCATATAAACTAGCATCCATGCTTTTTTTGTCCCTAGACTAAAGGCACTTTCTCCCAGTCCCACTATTACCTGGCTCTCTACCGCTTCAAGGCCATTGAGAAAGATGACCTTGACTTTCAGTAAGAAAATCACAATCAAATCTGAACACTAATGAATAATTATTTCTATTTTGCTAAATTTAATCAACTTTCAGTTTTAATATAAAGCCAGTGACAAAAGCACTTACTGAGAATGTGTTTACTAGCCCTGGTGATCGGATCACAGTGTTGGATGACTCCAATGAAGAGTGGTGGAGAGTGAGTTAAAGTTCTTAGAGGTTTACAAATGCTGTTTCAGTTTGTGCTATTGATGATGAGTACACAAATTCTGCTCTGTGTTGTCAGGGAAAGATGGGAGAGAAGTCCGGCTACTTCCCCGCCAACTACCTCATAAAAGTCCGAGCATCAGAAAGAGTTTACAAGGTGACGCGCTCCTTTGTGGGGAACAGAGAGATGGGACAAATTACACTTAAGAAAGACCAGGTAACTTCAGTATGTGTGTGTGTGTGTGTGGTTTAAGGAGCTTGGAAAGAAAAGCATCTGGGATCTTTAAGTTTCCTTGAAGATGTTACACCTCTCATCTGAGAAGCTTCTTCAGTTCTAAGAGCAATTGGTATGGAGTCCCAGATTTTAGGATCAACAGGGGGTCTGTGACCCTCTTGGGGACACTCCCATAGGGCTTAAAATCTGGAACGCTTTCCTTTCCAACCTCTTTAGACTACGATGACCTGGATGACTGAGAATCTTCACAGACAGGTGTGTGTGTGTGTGTGTGTGTGTGTGCGCGCGCACACACATAAGATAGTGCATTTTCTTTTCTGCAAAAAAGTGTGTAAAACCACTTGAATTAAAGTCAAAAGTCTGCACTTCAATACATTTCTATTGTTTGATTTGAAATCCACTGTGTTTTTGTACAAAGATGTGTCTTTTATAAATTATGACCCAAATTGTAAATCAAAGTTCTTTGTCTTTATAATAAAAAGGTTGCTTAATCTGTTGTCACTCTGTGTTTCAGATTGTGGTGAAGAAAGGAGATGAGAAAGGCGGCTACTTGAAGGTCAGCACTGGACGCAAGCTGGGCTACTTCCCTGCCGATCTGCTGCAGGAGATCACTGTGACTTAATCAACCTGATATGAAATGGAAAATCCATTGCATAATAACAAAAAGTATTAGCGAGAACTGGAGGTCCTGATTTTCTACATTTACTACTAATAGAAAAGCTAAATATAGCTGTGCCTTTGACATAATGGTTTAAAAGTCATTTTCACTAATGCCTGCAATGAAGAGACATTTAGCTGATTTAGTGTGTTTGCTGTGAACGGCGTAGTTATGCAAGTGTTTGATTTAATTTAAAGTTTGAAAAGAGCAAAATTTTCTTTGATTGGATTTGTAAATAATTTCACATGTATGACTCTGAAAACCTTAACCAAGATAAGAAAAAATCTGTGTAAGAAAACATCAGTGCTATACATTAAATTGTTTAGTGTGTTTGCACCATTTAATACAATTAAGTGGGTGTAATGCTTGTAGTGCCTAAAGAATTAAACCAAAAATGCTCTTAAGAACTGTCTGTGATGCTTTCTTTAAAATGTAGAAAATAAAACCTCATCTGAGAATAAATGGTATATTTATTTTTTCTATGGCTTGTATTCTGTATTAGTTTGCCGTGAAGTGACCATTTCCGAAAACAAGGGGTAGTCAGCAGCAATGACTCTTCCCTGAAGTCATGTGCCATTAAAAATCCATCAATCAAAATTTTTTATAAGCAGTTTCATAAAGAAACTTTTTTCCTGAGTGAAAATATTATTTTTTTTATTTATATTTACTGCATCATGTCATTTAATCACAATTACTAAAAGGAAGCTTTTTGGTGGCACATAAGTTAAAGAGAGCGTTACACTTCAAGACAGAAAGCCTAACTTTTACATATAAAAATAAATATTTTTACAGATAAAGACTTTTATGGGATTACCAAATCCAGATAAAGAAGTGCTCTTAATATGACCTAACATGTCTCCTACAGACCTCTCACACCTTTGTTTACTGTAAGTTTGGTCAGTGCAGCGCTAAGGGCCTGGGTGCACATAATCACAGACGAAAGAGATGGGTCATCTTGGCATCCTGAATGTGTTACTTCCTCAGTTTGCTCCAGGACTTTGACTATAGCCTCTGTTAAATCAACTGATGCTAAGACATACCCACAAAGATCCATCTGTGCACACTCTGCTCCTGTATCTCTGAGTTTAGCTTGTCAGTTTGTCAGTATTGGTAATTTGCCTGGCAGCACTGTCTACACTAACCACAACATGACACCCTTCAGTAGCACCTGTCACTATTCTGATGCATCCATTATTAGGGACGAAGAGCTCAACAGTAAATCTGCGTGGAGCCATGCTCTGCCACTATTCAACAAATGTCCTGCAGCTGTTGCAAGACTTCTATAGGAGTGTGAACTCTTTGAGGAACCTTCATACTGAGCAATGCACTGATAGGCTTGTGTATACCATATCCACCCCGTGACAATCCAAGACAGGTAGGAGTCAGCTGAGAATTTTATCTTCCAATTATTAATGTGCAACTCACAAAACTGCCTTCGGTGCTCCCAGGGTCCGCTTTCCTTTTTGTTTACACTCTGGTGCAGTTCTCTTGAGACTTTGTATCTGAAGTGAATGCATGTGTGGAGCATTTAGTGAGGTGTGAGTTTGCATAATCATTTGTTCTCCACAAATGGATATGGAAAAGGTCTGTGCAAAGCATCATCAGAGACGCTGATATAGTGCCAGAAAAGTGATTTCTGTAATTGGCAAAAATTGACTGACTGTATTTAAACTGTTGTGACTTGTTGGTGTATAATTTCTCAAACATATGTCAAACATATGGCTCATGAATGATATCATGTGATATATGATATAGCAAACAACACTATTGTCACAAGGTAGAAACTGCAAGTTTGTGGCAACGTGACTTTTACATATCCTTTATTTACCCAGCTAAAAAGTCTCTTTGACATTAAAAATGTCTGTTTTTAGGAGAGATCCAGCCAATACGGCAGCAGAAATCGCAAGAAATATAACATACTAGGTCTATAAAGATATTTTATAACCTAGATGATATTTGCGTAACAGGTAATTTCCTTACTTTATAGTTGATACCTTCGTAAATCCCCGCTTGAGTACAGCCTATCTACCAATGTAAGCAGCTATATGAGACGTAAAAACAAACACCGGAAGTCACGTTTTGCACAACACTGTGACTCCCTCACCTCTGCTCAGTCCTCTTATAAACCCTGCATCAACATTAGTTCTAGTAAAATCTTTCCAGATGGCGCTCTCATTATTCCGCTGCCCCGCGTGCTGTGTGTGAAATCAGCACAACTGTCACAGTCATTAAAAACTTCAGCTTTTACAGTATCAGTTGCAACCATGACTGTCCTCGGCTGAGGGATTCAAACTTCTCAACAGCAGGAATAAAGGTCCGCGTGTAGACGCTCGCGCTCTTTTACGTCGCGCACTGTTTACATTTAATCTACAAACAGATTTAAATAAATGTACTCTCGTTAACTTGTGCTTATAAGGGAGCAGCCATTTAGTTCCGTTTGCCGTCCCCTTTCTTCGGATTTTATTTGTTGTTGGAAACCCGCTTCTATGCGCACTGCTGCCGACCAGCGGACGGAGAGAGAAAGAAGCGGATAGTTTGTTTTTTCTCTTCCGAACTCTTTCATGGCATGCATTTTTAATTTCTCGTTGCTATTTGCGCTGATTGGGACCCGATAAATGGAAAAACAAAGAATTATCTTTCACCTGATGTAGTTTCTGAGAAAAATGATATCCACATATGAGGACATTCGTTTTAAATTTTGATAGAACACTAAGTCACAAAAGTGCAAAACTCTTTATTTGGTGTCTGAACACAGCGGCATTTTTCCTGAGTACAAAAACAAAATGAGAAACAACAACTGTGCCCCTTTCAGCAATATGGCTTATTTGAAGTGCCGCTAACAGTTGCAGGAAGACGTATGTCTGTTACAAAAGTGAAAAAATGAACAGTAAAAGACTTCTGAACATGGAACACGAAACATTTCGTTCCAAAACTGCTACTTAAAACTTTCCCCCCCGTGGGAACATGTTTACACCTATGTGTGTACAATTTAGTATTGTGGTCTAGACAACCCAAAATGTGATGTCCACAGGTTAAATTTTTTTTAAAGCTCTAACATCCACTGTGAGGCGATAGTTAGAAAATATCGTAAGCAGATACTAGCAAAGCTGTGCAGTGATTGCATTGTGTCACATCATTCTTTTACTTCGCGTGTGTTCATATTGGGAGTGGAGAGAGTGGACAGTTTCCGGTACCTAGGTGTACACATAACTCAGGATCTGTCATGGTCCTGTCACATTAACACCCTGTTTAAGAAATCTCACGAGCCTCTCTACTTCCTCAGAAGGCTTGGAGACTTCCATCTGCCACTGAGGGTGCTTAAGAACTTCCATCGAGAGCATCCTGACGGGAAGCATTTGCACCTGGTTTGGAAACAGCAGCAAGCAGGACAGACGAGATCTGCAAAGAGTGGTGCGCTCGGCCGATCAGATCTTACTGACCTGCTGTCCGTCTACACCAAGCGGTGCAAGAACAAAACCAGGAAGATTATGATGCACCTCTCCCATCCCAACAATGGACTTTTCTCACTGTTGAGGTCTGGGAAGCGCTTCTGCTCCCTTAAGGCCAAACCAGAGAGAATGAAGAGGAGCTTCTTCCCCCAGGCTATTTGGGCCCTGTACCAGGTGTAGGACTGGTCTCTCATACACACGGTCACTGCACGCACCCTGTTATTTGCACACTGATTATAATTTATCTCTTAAATCGTTAATTGCACATTCTTTTTTACTGTTAATTTTATCTTGTGCTTTTGTTTTATTGTTCTTAGAATTTGTTGTTTCTAATCATTACATTTTATCATAAAATGTAAACTGTAAACTCTACTGTCGTTTAATAATCGGGCATTGCACAGTAATAAGCATTTCACCAAATGTCATAATGTGAGGTTGTGTGCGCGACAAACAAACTTTGCATTTGGTGCATTCGTCGCATATTGGTAACCCTGAAGTCACGCTTTGAGTTTCTGGAACATTACGCTTTAGTGACAAAGTATTATTTTTAACATATAGAAGAAGCCCCACAAATGTAGGGCATCAAAAAATTGAGTAAAACTCTTTTTGTTCTTCTCCACGGAAATCTTTAGTAAAAGGCGAAAGATTTATACGATCTGAAGAGAAACAAGAGTGCTGATGAGATTTCGGCTACGTGGATGACCCCATTTCTCCCACTGGAATAATCACTTACGGTTTACTCAAACAAACTACTGAGTTTATCTTTGATGCGCAAAGATAAACCTTTACTGTAAATATCCCTAATACATGCACCAGAAAGTTATTGAGGGCGACAGATAAATGTGAAATGCTTATTCTAAAGCTGCTTTGCGCGCGTGGCATTGTGGTATTCCCACAATGCCACGCGCATTGTGGAGACCCCGCCCCCTGTGTTTTGTTAAGCATCTCAACAATGGCTAAATATCTTGTTTTTCTTTTAAAACATGAGGTGACTCTTGAATAAAAGAATCAATAGTCTCTGAATGGTGTAACATTGATTTATATGTTTATCGGAGTCTATTATGAAACTGCTGCTGAGTTTCAATAAAGTACAGTTTTATAAATAGAGAAGAGCTGCCCTTGACACAACTTCCTGTATCACAGGGGCGTTTCTGGGGGTGACCAACTGATTTATTTATTTGTACTTGTATGTTTTGTCAGTGACCTTAGGACTATTGTGATGCTGAAGGCAGATTAAAGCCCAATTTAGGGATTCTTTAAGTGATTCCACAACTCACTGTTACTGTAACACATGACACTTTATTAAAGTGGATGAAACAGGAATACATGAAAACAGCACTGCAGGACAGTCAATCAGTGAACTTGATTATGAACGCAATGCAAGGGGCTTTACAAAATCAACTGTGTACAGTCAAAAGTGCCTGTCAGATATGCTGTAATCATACACGTTACCATCAACAATATCATTGTGAATGTTAAATGAATGTCACTTAAAGAAACTTTACAACGAGCAACATATACTGACAATAGCCATACACGGGTAAATGTGTTGTAAATAGAAATGCAGTAAACCTGCCTAGTATGACATTAAATATACGATACACTTACTACTTCATATATCTCACATCGTTTGTAACGAGACGCCGAAAGCACCACCGGGCACTGCTGACGTGAAGGTGCGTGGATACCCTCTGCTCGAAGAAGCTTTTGTGTGTGAGTGAAGGCAGCGACTCGGCTGAGCAGCTTCTGTGGAGGTTCGGTGAAGACCATTCTTCTCACCCGGCCTGCTGACGAGGTGCAGGGGCATGTGGATTTATAACACGATATTCTAGTGTCGCCATCATCAGTTGTAGCCACTGAAAAGACTAGAAATGGGCGTAGTACATTAGATGTTGGTTAGCGCGCAGCTAACATTTACCATAAAGTAAAAGGCTTAAATGAGCTATTCAGCCTCG